ACTCAGGTCGCCGTGAACATCGGAGTGCCATGCGTCAACACACTAACCACTACACTATTGACATACATGTGACTACATGTAAAGCATTACAAAGCATTTATCCCTGTTCGTCCAGCCATGTTTTGATTATTGTCTTGTTTACCGTTAATGTTGTTTTACCTCCTGTCCTGTTTCCAAGTCTGTGTCTAATAAATGTTTTGTTAACATTTGTCTCTATTTTAAAAATACATTTTCAACTAAACCATGTTTGTTTGTTCTGATAATGCTTTATTTCATAGTACCAATTTCCACAAGTTTTTTTTTTGTTCACTCAACTTCATGTTTTCAAATGTTGAGCACATGTCAGTGTCAATGGTGTAGTGTTCCAGCCTTAAGGTCCTATGCTAACCCCTCTCCTCTCTCCTCATGCTTTTCTGTCTATACTCTCTACTGTCCTGTCAATTAAAGGTGAACATAAATAAATGAATGTTGTGTACAAAAGGAAATAAGGATTATGTTTTTTGTTCACTCAACTTCAGGCATTCCAATTCTGCAGACAAAAAATGTTCAGTTGGCACAACTTAAAAAGTTTGTTACAGAGTAGTTCACCTCTACAGAAAACTACTAACTTTTTGTAAACCCAACTAAATGTTTTTGTATTACTGGCGAATAATTTTAGATCAGTGCAGCTGATGTTTTTAAAAGTTGAGTAAACAAGAAAAAGCCAAAGAAAATGAATATGGATTGTTTTTTTTTTTTACAGTGTAGATGGATAAATAGATAAACAGACAGACTGAGAAAAAAAAGACGTATATAGACAGAAATAACTATACAAACAAACAGATGGTAGAGAGACCCAGAGAAACCTACTATATACTCAGAGAGGACAGCATCACTAAAATAGCTGCACACCATCCACACCTTCAGAAATTATTCTCTAATAATTATACACTAAATATTATACACTAAATTAATTTGCTTTAGTTTATTGTTCATTTATTCATTTTCCTTCAGCTTAGTCCCTTTATTAATCTGGGGTCGCCATATTAGAATAAACCGCCAACTTATGCAGCATATGTTTTACGCAGTGGATACTACTTATCTTTGGACTGTGGGGAAAACCCACGCAAACACAGTGAGAACATGCAAACTCCACACAGAAATGCCAACTGACTCAGCCGAGGCTTGAACCAGTGACCATCTTGCTATGAGGTGATTGTGCTACCCACTGCACCTCCATGACACCCCTTAATTCATTGAGATAATTATAATGAGTTATCTGTTCTTTGTTCCTGTTTTCTGTCATTTATATGTCATGTACTGGGTATTTTATTACTTTAATGATGTAAATATGTTGCATATTTCATACACCGTTAAAATGCTTTGGAGATACTGTAAAAAAGTCATGCCAATAGAGAAAATTGAACAGGACTTAACTGAAGAGAATTTTAATTTAAAAGTAACTCATATTTAAAATAAAAAACATGTCAAAAACACTGAATATAAATTATTAAATATGTAAAAACTAACTCCTCTTCGACAACTGAATTGGGAAATGCCCCACCTCTACACCATTTCATGTTAAGAGAGAGAGATAGAGAGTTCCATCTGTCATCCTGTATGAGATGCTGAATGCTCATTCCAAACATTGCCCGCCTGGCCTTGGCCCTCTCTCTCTCCATCTCATTCCCTTTTTTTCGGTCTCTTTGTCCTGTATCTTTTCTCTCTGAATCTTTAGAGAGGAGAGACGGTTGCTATAGAGACAGGGATGCTTATAGTAGTAAAGAAGGAATGTGGTTGTCATGGAATATTTTGTAAACTAGAAGAAAATAATTAAATGATTGAGATTATGCATTCATGAGCAGAAACGTGAGGCTACTGCTTGTGTGTGTGTGTGTGGCGGACAATAAAAGGAGAGAAGAGAGAGATCATTCTGATCACATCAAAAACAATTACAAAGTGCAGTCATCGCTTTTGTTTGACTTGTGTGTTTGTTAAATTGATGATTGAACCGCTCCACGGTTTGGACATTGTTTCATACCTGATGATGTGGATGAGTGAAAGCTGATAATGCACTGATAGCGAGTTCTCCATCATGTGATAATAGAATTACAGCTTCATTTGATCCCATCACCGCTCACGAGTAATCATATTATTGTACACACAGAGAGAGAGGGAGAGAGAGAGAGAGAGATGTTGCATCAGGACCACAAGGACTATAAAACTGTTCCTGTTTTTCTGCTTTGCTGTCACCAGCGGAGATCTTTTAAGTCAAACTAAAATGAAATTAAATAACTGATTTCATCACAATCTGTTCATGCTACTGCAAATATCAGGTCTGTAGCCAGCCAACTGAAAGGGGTGTTTCCTTTTTCCCAAAAAGTGAACCTTTTTGGAGTTATTCACCTCATTTTCTATTTAAATATGAGATTTAATGCTGCATTTTTGTGACATTTTAAGCACTACATTTAGCTGGATTAGCTTGTCGTCAGTCATTATAATGTTTTGATGTAACAAAAACATTCCCTAAACATTTAGAACAAAGAAACATGAATAAATACCTATTTTTACAATACAAATCATATTACATCATTAGAAGAAAAAAAAAATAGGAATCTGTTGTCATTTATTATTCAAATAACAAACTGGCCAGCACATTTAACATTCCTCAGTCAGAATTTGGCCATTTGAGTAATCAAAATAAAACATAATATATAAAAAAAAAAAAAAATAAAATAAAATAATAATGTAAAGCTTTAGCCAAATAGTATTTAAATTAATTTTAAGATGGTCCGTTTTCTTCACACCTTTTTATTGGTAATTTTTTGTTTAAAAACAATACAGTATGTATGTTTTTTGCACAGCTGGATGTTGAAAAATAGTTTGCATTGATCAAAACTGATTATCTGAAGTCACACCGAAGCGATGGGTTATTATTGATGGGTTATTTTCACAATTTATGATGGCATCGCAGTCAAAATAAGACAAATGAGGTCATGTGAGATAAATTTTGGACCTTTGTCAGTGAGAGGTGAGTTTTTCGAACCACCCAAACCCCTGGCTACAGGCCTGAATATGATTGTTAGTATGTGGATTTGTGTCGCTGTTTTAAAAGTCACAGGAATACCACAGCCCCACCTAGTGTCGATTTTAAACTACTCTTCTTGTCTGTCTAACTGATTAATGTCTGCTGCTGTATATCCTGCTGTATTTATGCGTTAAATCTTTAATGCGTTATCTTTAATTTTAGTATCCTTCACATAATTTATTTTAAAAATATTTTATATAAAAATATTAATTAAATTGTTTCTCAAGTCAGAATGTGATGTGAACTAAATACTTCCCAACTAATGGTAGACTACAATCACTCTATTAACTTCAAGTCTCCTGTAGTAGTGTACAACCTGACAGCTGCAGCACAGTAATTACTGCAGTCTCACCCTGAGGGCACTGACCCGGATGTTGAGTTGACGCTTTATGAACAGTGACTGCTTCGCTCACCTCTTCTGCAAGGAAGCAATGCTATAATTTAATCTATGCCTTTTCGAGTAAACGTAGACATGAAGCATATGACAAGTAAATTAACTTACCTGCTAGACTGACAGGCGCCGGGTCTGTATGATTTATGTGATTATTTCCCCTAATTGGTTATGTTTACTTGCCTTTTAGGTGTTTTTGTTTGTTCTTTCGGCCTAAAGGAAATATATCAACGTTTAGATATGGTTCATGGATCTATATCTAGAAGAAAGAACTCCAATTAGTGATGGTCCCATCTGATACAGAACGGGGCCCTCAGACCCCAGGGACCAATTTGGACAGGCACGTGCCGGGTATTCGCGCGTGTCTATCCAAACACCAGACGCGTTCCACGGTTGTCCAGGAAACCCACAAGAATCCCGCCATCTGTCACGCTCCTGCGCAGTGATCCCTGTCGTGTAGCTGTATCTTCCCTAACCAAGGGGAACACACGTTCATCCATTACCCGCCATAATCATGCAAGTGGGCGGGAAGAACAGGCATTTTTGACACACCCATTATGGCCTAAAAACCGTTTAGAAGCTTCTCGGTTTTTTTATCCGTTTAATCATTTTCTTTTCGGCTTAGTCCCTTTATTAATTAGTGATCGATAGAACCGCCAATTTATCCAGCACATGTTTTACGCAGCAGATGCGCCCATGCAGCCGCAACCCAACACTGGGAAAAACCCATACACACTCTTTCCCACACATACACTATATATGGCCAATTTAGTTTATTCAAGTCACCTATAGCACATGTCGTTGGACTTGTGGAGGAAACAGCAGCACCCGGAAGAAACCCACACAAACATGGGGAGAACATGCCAACTCCACGCTGAAATGCCAACTGACTGGTGACCTTCTTGCTGTGAGGCGACAGTGCTGACCACTAAGCCACCTTGACGCCATCTCCTCGGTTTTATATATGATAAATTAATAAATGAAATTCAATCGTCAAATCATATAATTTATTTGGAATTCATTGGCCTTTAAAATGGGATAAAACATGCCATAAACAGCAAAAATCAGTCCAAGGCACTTGAAAAATGTGGAACAAAATTAAAAAGCATCGATCAACATGGCTATTCAATAAAAGCTTTCCAAATATAACCATGTCAATGAAAAGTTTTAAATATTTTTCCACATTCCCCATGTGTCTTTTACTGATTTTATTTTATAAAATTTTATTTTCTGTTTATTCTGATAAATCCCTTACCCAAAGAGCACTGGCACATATCTACCCCTGAGTACTTTTTTATTTGATTTTGGATTCTCATACAAAGCACATGCAATAACAGCTTTTACATTTTAAATTAAAGATCTAAAATATACCGAGATGTGCAAAAGAAGCGTTCCTGAAATGTGTCTATGAAGTGAACAAGCTTCAGATGACGCTAAAGTGAACATGTTATCGATGAGTGACAGTATCGCCATCTGCTGGCCGAAGAAGATGATTCGTGGGTTGGGATAAACAACAAGCTGAACGAATTATTGAAATGTTTTATAGTATAACCAAGACCAAAGACTGTAGTTTGCACATTTTGTAAACTTAGGTACAGTTGTGCAAATTCTAGGAAACTAAACTAACAACAGGGGAATTTTATCATCTCGTCTGACAGAAATACCATAGCTCGTATAAAATTCACTGAAAAAAAATCATGTATTTGCTGTAATTTTGAATACACGAAATAATATCATATTATGTTTGAACCTAAATGTCTTTTTGATTAGAAATACATCAACTGAATATTGCTGAACGTTATTTTTAAAGCGAGTTTTCCCAAGCAGAGACTACTGTAAACAAACTTGAACTTTTTTGCTAACTACTGTAGCTGCTTTTTTTGTGGCGAAATACAACTTGTTTTGAATGTAGTTTCATCCGAATTTTAAAACAGTTTCTGCTCCAGAGAGTATTGTGTTTTTCTTGTGTTGGTATTGAGATAAATGACTACACGATGATAGCAGGCGTCCTACTCTGTAACACGTCACAGATACTCGGTGAGTTTGCACTGGCAGTGTGTGTAATTGCAACTTGACACCGAGAATGTGTTTGGTGGGGAGAGTGAAAGTTTTGACAGTGACATTGTTGGCTGATCTGCTGAGAATACCGTGAGAGGTAAGCACTTTATCACTCTTTTATGATTTCTTAAGATGTAGTAACTTGATCAAATTCATTTTAATACAATAGACTAAACTCATTTATTCAGTTGTTCTGGAAAAGCCAAATTAATCGTTTCTTCAACGCCAGTCGAGAAGCTTTTTTAGGTTACATAAAGTAAGCAGTTATGGACAAATATGCAGATTGTTAATGTATTGCATAGATTTGTTTAGTGTCCATGACTTAATTGAGGGAGAGTGTACAGTTTGTTTTATATATATATATATATATATATATATATATATATATATATATATATATATATATATATATATATATATATATATATATAGTAATTTGTGTTTTATACATGATTAATATTAAACCTTCCCCCTAATGCCATACATAAATACATTGTAAACATTGTAACGCTGAAAATACATTGTATACAGAATAATTTGCAGCAATAGAAAGCAATAGAAATGCTGGGCTCGTCCCAACAAATTATATATATATATATATATATATATATATATATATATATATATATATATATAGGAATTTGAGGAAGTTTCATTATTACAGTATAGTCTACACTAATCTGGGTTTAAATTAGATATAGGGATGATCAATTTTGTTTCCCAAAAAATAAAATGAATAATAATGGTCACCCTCATGTCAATCCAAGCACGATTGACATTTTTTTTTATCACAACAGAAGTTTTGCAGAATTATTTGTGCTGCTTTTTACAACACTAATAAAGTAAAGTTTGACCAGAAAAAGACAGAAAATGTCAGTAAAGTACTTTTATAGTATTTTATTTATATATTATATATGATAAATGCATTTTTTTTTTTTGTTCCTTAATTTGTGACAGTCCAAACTTACACAATGATTCAGTATTCTTGACCTATAATATCAGGATGTAAGTTGAGTCATATGGGGCAAGAAAAATCTGAACATAATTATAACATAAACAATTGTTTTTTAAATCTGCATCAAATTATTCTGTATACAATGTATTTTCAGCGTTACAATGTTTACAATGTATTTATGTATGGCATTAGGGGGAAGGTTTAATATTAATCATGTATAAAACACAAATTACTATATATATATATATATATATATATATATATATATATATATATATATATATATATATATATATAAAACTTCCGTACAAAGATATATGTAACTTTCAGGCCCTTGCATTAATTGTAAACAGTTTGCTAGATACAGAAGGTGCTCATCTTTCACGTTGACTAATATTACATCGCATTGCCAAAAGCCCTGTGTAATTGCTACCTTCACTTACACTGTTTGTAGTTGGGATTTACTCAATATAAGCAGTGTCACACTTTTGCTAATGGTGACTTCTCAAGTTTCATTGAAATGTAGAGCTTTGTAGTACAGAAACATAATGTGCTATTCTCAGTTCTATTGTGCAGCTGCGGTTCAGTGTTACAAATGGCATTAAAATAAACACAGAGTCTGTGTTGTTTTTACACATGGATTTACTCCAAGTAAATTAGCTGCCTTGGGTGTTCTCCCATCATGCTTTGTAGCCGAGATCTTTTCTTTACACCCAAATTCTTTGATAGAGCAAGCACTCTACATTTTGCCTGTCAACGCACTATTAGGTATGATAAATGTCAAGCCCTTTCTCTACAGTAACTCACAGATGTAATTTAACAGCGGTAAGAGAAGCCAGACTACCAGGCCAGCAGAAATGTGATTTATTGTGCTGGACGTTCCCTGAACCTGACATTTAGATTGGTATGGCATTTAAAAAAATAGTTTGTATGTGTTTTGACTCGTATAACTCAACAGGATTCATTAAGTTATTAACTAGAACAGGAGGGGAGGACACAATTACAGGCTGTAAAATGCAACATATTTCTTCTTGCACGGAAAATGCCACTGGATCCATGCAGTTGACTCGCTGTATCTTGTGTGTTGCCTTGTGTCAGCATGTATCGATGAATGTTCGCACCTTTCTGTGACTGGTGAACTGGAGCGTAAGTCTGTGTGCGTATGTGTTTTACCGCGACGTGCATCTTGGTGTGTGTGTGTGTGTGTGAAACAAGTGTCTTTTTGTCTGTGGGTTTGGACGAAGAAGAGCTCTTCCTCTCCTCCTGTCTGAGGATGGTCAGCTTGCAGTGTAGGTGTGAATGTGGCACCTGTGTGCTGTAATCCTGTTGTGTGGGCTTCCCATGCTCCATCGGTCATCACTGACACACACAAGGGCTTAGAGTTCAAGTCATGTTCAGTTTATGCTGTTCTTTATCAGTATGGGCCTGTTACTTTTTCACATTTCTATTGTACTTAATGTCAGTCACACTCTGTTGTGCTTGATGTTTTATTGATGTTGCAATGATAGATCTTGAATTAGTTTATCTATCATGCCTGTTTTTACTTGCTTTTTTGGCAGGTTCAGAAAAAACTCATTCAAACCTGGAGTTAAGATGCATCAATTAAACAAGTATAGACAACACTCAGTCGAGCTGTAAACACCCACATGAAAAAAATAATATAGTAATTTATAGTAAATGTTATATTGTTTTTAACCATACTATTGTAAAGTACTTTAATTAAACCGTGATAATTCTATAGTTGCTATGATAATACTTTAGTATTATAAACTATCCAAAACCGTGTTTTTTATGGTACACACTACCTGACGAAAGTCTTGTCGTCGATCCCAGTTGTAAGAACAACAAATAATGACTTGACTTCGAGTTGATCATTTGGAAAAGTGGCAGAAGGTGGATTTTCCAATGAATCATCTGTTGAACTGCATCACAATCATCTCAAATACTGCAGAAGACCTACTGGAACCCACATAGACCCAAGACTCTCACAGAAATTACTCAAGTTTGGTGAAGGAAAAATCATGGTTTGGGGTTACATTCAGTATGGAGGCATGTGAGAGATCTGCAGAGTAGATGGCAACATCGACAGCCTGAGGTATCAAGACATTTGTGCTGCCCATTACATTACAAACCACAGGAGATGGCAAATTCTTCAGCAGGATAGAGCTCATCATCTTACTTAAGCCTCCAAATCAAAGTTCTTGAAAACAAAGAAGGTCAAGGTGCTCCAGGACTGGCCAGCCCAGTCACCAGACATTAAAATTATTGAGCATGTTTGGGGTAAGATGACGGAGGCATTGATGATGAATCCAAAGAATATTAATGAACTCTGGGAGTCCTGCTAGAACGCTTTCTTTGCCATTCCAGATGACTTTATTAATAAGTTATCTGAGTCATTGCAGAGATGTATGGATGCAGTCCTCCAAGCTCATGGGAGTCATACACAATATTAATTCCTTTCCCACTGCACTATGACTTTATGTTCTTGACTGGACAATATCTCTGTTAAGTGACAAGACTTTTGTCTTGGCAAAGTTAGACCTTACTGTCCTAATTGAATAATTAAAAATCAAGGCATAATCGTGTTTTATTTTGGTACAATAAGTGTAACCTAGTGGCCTTGCCTTTCATATAAACCACTTCTGATACCAAATGATCATCTAGAAGTCAAGTTATTACTTGTTGTTCCTAAAACTTGGAAAGGTGACAAGACTTTTGTCAGGTAGTGTTTATACTACAACAAACCACAGTTTACTTTAATTAAATTATACTAAAGTATGCAGTTTGTCAGTATTCACTATAGTTAATAATACAGTATGCTGTATCATTCATTGAAGAGTTGAAAATACTATAATATTTAGTACAGTATAAAAACATTTGAGGATTTTCTATGAAGTGCTAAAATATTTTTTGTGTGTTTATCGGATCTAAAACATTTTGAACTTGTACACTTTTCACAACATTCAATCAGATTGTATTCAAACAGCTACTGACCTAGCATATGATCAGTATAGGACATGTTATGCAAACCATTTATCTATACTTTGTTGCATTGTACCAAAACGCACAGATTAGGATCAAAATTGTAATAATTATTTACATTTGTTTCCTTTCTCACTCGTAAAACACATTTTTTGGGGTTTGTTTATTTAATATTTATCATGAAGCACACTAACAAATCTTGTGAAGTGATGTAGAAAGTGAAGACAAAGTTTTTAACAAAATCCACACATGCAGTCACAATAATCACATTAGCTAAGTGGAAACAGTAATGTGTGTTGGATGACTACCTGTAATCGGATCCCCAATAATGCATTTTAAAATAAGATGAAAGACAGCCTTAATGTAATATGCAGATTAAAGTCGTAAATTATAGGTGGACAGAATAAGGCCTCTGATGTCAATCACTTTAAGTGTTCAAAACTGTCTGCTTTACTGCTTGAGATTTCAGTCACTTTACTGAGACATGGCCGGTGTTTATCATGCTATAAATATTATTATGTATATATATTTTTTTGTGTTTTCATAATTACATACTGGGTTGTAGAGCAAATAGTTTGCTGCACTGCACTTTTTAATTGGCACTTTTCTCAGTTTGTTCTTGATTGTTTTTATTGACCTGACAGCAACTTTTAAATGAAGCATTCTTTTGCCTGGATTCTTTTGTATGACCCAGTTTCATATTTAGTTCCTGCATCTGAATATGCTAAAAAAACTCCAGATAACTTCTGTCTTCTGTAAAGACTCTGAAGTGTTCATTTGATGGATGCTTTTTAAAGGCCATTCGTGAGAATTTGTGAAGGCCAGTGAACTGACCCAACTGGCACTACAGGACACATGAGAAAGATAATTAGGCAAACATATAATGTCCAGATTTAATTTATGCAACACATATGCAAACAAGGTATGTTTGTAAAGTATGTTTTGGATGCATCCAGTTGTTAATTTGTGGATTTGACTTATCTGACTGCAACTCATAAACAAACAAACCACTGATGTGATTGTCAGAGTCATGGTGAACAACTAAATTCATTAGTCTGAGCTTTAACCTATTTAAGCTCTGTTATACAGTATCAGTGTGATATTTCCTCTAATTAAGCTTGTATTATAAAAGGAGTGTCATAAAATGAAAATCTACATAT